CGTACACCCAACAACCAGGAGATACAGTCGGATGAAGGTACCCTTCATTCAATTTTCTTTATTGTTGGGTTTTTTTTCTTTCCCTTTTTGTCTTGTGTTCTTCTTATGGCAGCCCAGGCAGTGATGCCAGCAGGCTGGGCGCTTCAGCTTGATGCTCATTAGCAGAATTCTCCCTGATATTAATTTTAAATTTATCTTACAAATTTTTACCCATTTCTAAGTCTTTTTGGGTAAAGATGCCTAAAAAAAAAAATAAAGAAAATCTTTAGTCGTGTTTTACACCCTTGAGATCTTTCCAGACTGCTGGCTCGTCCCCTCCCCATCTTAGTCATCCCATACTGTGCTAGACAAATTTAGCTCCTAACCTTTCCTTATAAATCAATCCCTCTGGCCTACCGGCAATTTTTGTCTCTCTTCTCTGAACTCCTTCTGCTGTGGGTGATAGAAAAGCCAGGACAGATCCAAGTCAGTGTCCATCCAGCCTTTCTCCCAGAGGTTGGTTGCACAGAGCAAGGGGCAAGTGGCCTCTAGTGGCCAGCCATCAATTAAGGCACTTAAAGGGAGCACCAGTGCTCCTAGGCCGTGGGCTCTCCCTTCCCGAGAAGGCAGGAGAGCCGGCAGGGTTAGGGTTGGAGAACGTGCCCCCCATCCTCGCCCCTCTCTCGACCCTAAAGCGGGGGGTCCCACTGGTAGCTCTGCTCCCAGGCCTCCCCGCCTCGGAGACCGGCTCAGGGTGCCCGTGCATCACGTCCCACTTTCACAGGGCGGTGAGCAGGGGATTGATGGAAACCCTACGGGTACCTTGCAGTCCCCCTGAAATTTCAAAGCAAGTCCCGAGGGCTCTCTTGCTTTCCTGGTAGTACAACTGTGTTGCTTTTAGCTGTTCAGCAGCGTCATTAAAGTGACATTTTCTGCATGTTTCAGAAAACGCTGCTTTGGTGGATAAAGAAAGATTGAGCGCTGGATTTTCCCTCCCTTTTAACTTCGTTTAGGCAGGCAGGCTGCAGTTTTAAACTCATACTAACATCCTGCAAAGCTGGAGCCAGCAGAGGTCATTGCCTCCAGCAGGTCCCAGGCCATGGGTTTCCTAACACCCCTGCAAGCCTCTGCGAGCTCCAGGCAAACCTGCGCTTGATGTGAAACAAAGCACATTGTTTCACAACATTGCTGCTGGTTTGCAGTTTCCTTTGGAGGCCCCACAAGGCACAGAGTGGCACAGCGGTGGAGCTGAGCATTAGCCTTTCTTTTGTAAAATTACCTTTACCGTTTTGCTAGTTGTTAGGGATTCTGCTGCTACAAGAGCTGCTGTCCAAAGCATTTTACTCCCTGAAGTAGTAGTGCTTGTAGCACGTTTTAGCCTGCAGTCTGTGGCTGTGGATATTGTGTTCCTCACAAATACCCAGTCTGCTCTTTAGCAGTCGTGGTGCTGTGGCCTTGCACGGCTGCAGAGCCAGGTTCCTCCGCCAGCCCTTCCCCCTGGAATTAAGTGTTCCCTGCCTTCAGTTTCAAATGCGCTGCTGTTTGCTTTCATGGAATGATACCCTCTTCTTCAGTGAAATGTGAAAGGAAACAAAAGCCATGTCTTTCCCTTTCCTCTATCATGTGTCCTACTAAAAAGCAGCGCAGTCTCTGCTTACAAATGATTTCCAGACCTTTCTCCTTTTTTCTGCTTTCTCTTTCAGAACTCTTTTGCTCTCTTTCTTGGAAAACAGGGTGTGAAGTTGAAGATTGCAGCTTGAGACCTACAGAGTGAATTGGGTATTTTCATTCTTTTTTGATCTGTTCCTTATGGCCTGGACTCTGCATTTGCTTTTTAGATGTCTATCTTGGCAGCACATTTCTCTTGAGCTTTTCAGGTCTCATTGAGGGATGCAATTACTGAAGAGTCCAATGAGGTGTGTTTGAGGGGTTTCTTCCATTAAGTTTTGCCTTGTTCCTGATAATTAGGAGCATGGACCAAGGGACGATGCTTCATCAGTGGTCACATTAGCTCCTCAAAAACTTGCCTGGATGGCCCCAGGCTTTTTGGGTTGAATAAGTTAAATGGGTACCTTCAGGTAGGCAGAGTAAGCAAAGACTGTAGTAGCACCTTCTGGAGATCTTCCAAGATAGAAAGGGATGATAAAGTGGTATCTGGTATCAGCTTTAGGCCATCTGTTTTAGTGGCCTGTCTTGAACACTGCCCCATTCTAGGTTCTTCAGATGAGATAGTAAGAAACCCAGCAGATTACTAAGGTATAACCTATAATACTTCTTCTAAAGCTTTCATAGCTGGAGAAAAGCTTGTTCTGAAAGATGAGGTTAACTTCTCTTAATTTTCTTTGTCATCAATATGACAACTTGTTACCTGGAGAGATGGCTCTGACTTTGCAGTTTTTTCCTCCTCGATGACATCACTGAAAAAAATGTTTTGTTTTGCCAGGTTTGAATTCATTTGTATTCCACCCTTGTCGTTTTAACGAATGTCCCTTTTCTTGTGCTGCGATGAGAACACTTTGCTTATGTCTGTGTTCAAGGCACTGTGCATATGCTTACATCTCCTCTCCCTCTTCATACGAGTTCAGGTGGGTTTTTGGAGGTCAGTATCTTCCCAGTGCCAGTCTCTGTGGCATCTCCAACTCTTCTTGGGGTGCAGCCCATGCTGAATCTAACCTGTGCTGTTGTGGATGATGTGACTACAGTAATTTCTTTGTTAGTCTCCATCTCACTCCTTGTCAACTGTGGCACCTCATTGCCTTCTTTGCTTGCAGCTGCGTATTGAGCAGAGCACTCCCTTGAGCTGCCCGTGGGGTCTTCTGTGTCCCCTACCCACACCAGTGCAGGCAGGGCATGGATCTGCAGTCTGAAGGTTGGCCTCTTCCCCGTAACGTGTTGCTTTGTGTCTCAATGCTGACCTTTTTGTCCTTGTGCCATCTCTCTGGCCTGCACAGATCTGCCTGAGGTTCCTCCTGCCTATTTTGAGATCTGCCCTATTAAAGCTGGGTGGCACAGGACCGCTCCTCTGCCTGCTCCTGGCATGCCCTCCCAGCACCCCCTCTCTCCAACTTTATCCTTCCCCAGCGGTCAGTCAGGCCCTCCTTTGCACAGATGAGCCAGTGCAGAGGTGGCTGAGCAGGAAGCCTTTCCCTCTCCCGCACAGCCTGCGCAGGAGCCACACGTGGCTGCTGTCTCTGTCAGCCCCTGCACCCACCAAGCACCAGGTTGTGGTGCACCCTGTCCTCTTCTGCCCTGTTGGAGCCACAGCGTGGGCTGCGCTGCTTTCGCCCCCTCACTGCAGTGTGAGAAGGGACAGCCCTGTCCTGGCGATGCCAGGGAGGTTCCCTGAGGGCTGGTGAGGTGACCTCTCTGGGTTAGGAGCCAGGGGCGTTGAGGGCAGTGGCCAGCAGTCTCCCACGACATTCCCTTGTCCTGCCCTCTCTCCACAGGTTATGCCACTCTCCAGGTTTGCTGGGTGCCTGCCGGTGAAAGAGAAGGGTTGATATTTTGCCCAGGCCCTTAGGTCCTGAACCAAAATGGCAGCTGGAGAGTCCCCTCCCGTAGGAGATGTCTTCATCGACTTGCAGCAGGTGAGGTGGGAATCCAGCAGCAGCGGTTTTGTCTCTTCCCCGGGGACTGTGCCCCTGCCAGGCTGAGTGCAGGACCCGTGTCCTGGCAGCCTGCTGCAGCAGGAGACACAGCCGCCGCTCAAAACCCCGCCGCCGCTCACCAGGGTCAGGTCTGCATGAAGGGTGCCCCAGGGCTGCCCACGAGCCCACATCCACTCTCTGTGCAGATAACAAACTGGTCCAGAAATGACCAGAGGTTGCTCTGCGGGGTCCCTGTGCCTTCACCTGCCGTTGTGGGGGGTAGGCAAGTAGCAGGAGGAGCTGGGCGGCTTGCAATTGGACTCCCTCCTTTTAGGCTGAGCTTGGGACCCCTATGCTGAGGTGAGAGGAGAAGCAGGCTCACCACAGATACGGAGCTCCTCCCAGAGCACAGCTGGGAACAGCTGGGGGATGCAGGGAGCAGCACAACTCGGCTAAAGCCGCCTGGCTCCCTCTTTCCACCCAGCACAGACAGATTTGTCACAGTTGGGCCTCCTCCTGTTTCCATGGAAACACGGGAGTCCACAACAGCTCCGCACTAGCATTTCAGCTACATTGACGGAAAATTTTACCAGCTGCAGCTGCTTGGGAGGCAGAAAGGACAGGAGTCAGCTGGCGATGCTCTTCTCAGAGCGTGTCCACTGGCAAAAGGCAGAAAAGAGCCCATAGCCTGAAATGGGAGGAAAACAGGCAGAAAAGCCTGAAGAAGGCATGCCAAGGGGAAAGGGGGGCTCCTAGGATGCGGAGGGGAGGTGGGGAGGCACACGGTGGTCGCTGACCTCGGGGAAAATATGGAGGAGGTCTAAGAAAATGAGGGATGACTGAGCGAAGGGAAGGCCAGAGGGCAGAAGTTAGATGCAAGGAGAGAGAAATTCCAGTTAAACAAAAGCTACGCATCTCCTCTAGTAGGAAATTCAGGCACTGCCATAGTCCCTGGATACCTGCCACTCAAGGGAGGTGTGGAGGACCACTAAGGTCTCTGCTGAGCATGATGTGGAGGTTGCTGATCTGTTCTGGCCCTTGGTTTCGAGCAGAGCTGCACCTCTAAGTGAGGAGCTCTGCCCCAGCCCTGTCGTGTGGAGCCTGCTGCTCCTCAGCAAGCCCAGCACTGTTTGCGAGGCAGAAGGACCCAGAGGGCCATAGGGGTCTGCAGTGTTTGACTCTTGTCTGGCGGTTTCTGTGCAGGGCAGAGATCGCGCAGAGAAAGCCTCTCCTGGTGCCGAGGACGATGAGGACTTGGATAAGACTTTGTCAGTCGAGAGATTTGGGGACCTGATAAGCAAGTCAGCATCAAGCAATCTGGAGAAGCAAAGACGCAGCTACAGTGAGAGAGATTTTGAATGTATGTAGGTTTGAATCGTTGTACCCACTTTCACCCTCACCAGCAACCCTCACTCAGCCCCATGTGCTCTGCAGCGTTGTGCTGGGGCCCTGCAGATCACGTTAGCCTGCTATTCCTCCTCTGTTCAGAGCGTTCCCAAAGTGCTACACACACCCAGTTCAACACCAGTGCCCATGGCCTCTTCCCAGTCTGTTCTGTGTTCTGTCCCCAGAGGCATAGCCACTGCCCAGCCCGTGCAGCAGCAGAGCTCAGCCTCGGGTCTTTGCTCACCTCCTCACCCAGCATCCAGGACCTCTGCAGCCACTTCCCCCACCTTGAAATTTCCAGTTTGAAACGATTTTTCTTCCATATGGCTGCAAAGAAACATCCAAATATGGCCAAAAGCCAGGCTGTCCTCCCCAGTCTGAAAGCAGATGGCTCCAGTCAGACATGCCTGTGTATTTCTAAATAGTAACCATGAAGCCCTCAGGCTTATCTGCTCAAAGAAAGGTCTGCAACATGAAAATGGGGTGTGAATTTAAAATGCTGTAACTATCTCACCTGAACTCGTCTGATCAATGTGTTTATTTGTCTAGCTGCCCTTCCATGGTGAAGGCAACCAGTCTGTCCAAACTCACTTTGGCTGTAAAATGAGAGCGTGCCCACAAGAGTGGCCATAAGCTATTGCCTGGTATGGGTGGGTTGTGGTAACAGCAGTGAAGGGCAGGAAGCAGAGGCCCCCAGCCATCAGCCTGGTTTTGTGGCAGACAAGTAGCAGTGCCTGGAAGAGTTTCCCACTCTGCAGCTCTCCACAGTCAGATACTGCTTATTTTCCAGCTTAGCTTTGATGCGATACAACCTCGGGAACATTATGTTCCAAGTACATCACCAGGCTGTTTTCTGCTTGGCCACTCGTTTCCAATGGCTGTTGTAAAAGTCTGCCTGTAAAAGTCTATTACTGTAGTGCGCCCCAGCTGCTATTTTCTGCTTGTGCCATTTCTGCACAAGAGGCTCTGTTCAAATAACACTTTCCACCTGAGCATGCAGTCGCTCGCGCACATGGCTGCAAGGTGCTGATAGCTTTGCTGTGGGGCGAATACCTGTCCTGTGCTGGTAGGACTCAGCTGCTCCCAAGCTCTGCCTGTGTGCACAGGTGTGTGTGTTGGCTTGGAGGACACGGATGATCTGCTTGAGCATGCATGGCAGAAGCTTCTTTGAAAACTTGACTAGAGATTTGTACTGTTTGGGGTTTATTTTCTTCTTAATAGGAGAGTCCTTTTTTCTTTGTCAGAAAGAAGCTTGTTTTCCTCTGAGGTCCTGATGTATCCCTGTTATCTAGGACTACATCAACCCTGGTTATCAGAAGTTTTATGCAGTTGGTATTCATAAAGCTGGAAGATCTGGTTAGGTCATCAGACTTTGAAAGACAACATATGAGCCCATGGAGGTGAATGTCCTCTGGGTTTAGAAATGTTTCCTGCCCTGTTCAAAGCCAGCAATTCCTAATGTGAAGGCTCTTCCTTCTGGGCTTCTTATCCAAATTACTTTTTCATCTCTCTCGTATCCAGTTCACTGAGAAGCATAGTCGAACATCTAGGACACTGGTTTGGCAATAACTTTCCATGCGGCCAGACAGTGCAAGGAGGGGAGCAGGGAAGGAGGGCAGGGGCTGGGGACACAGGAGTTGCAGGAGGACAGTGAGCAAGAAGAGGGAGGTTGAAGCCTTCTGTGTTTGGGAGAGGTCTGTTCTTCCCACCTCTGCGGAGATGTGATCAGTTGACTCAAGGGGTGCTGGGTGCAGGGGTGAAGTGCAAGGCTACCCTTTAAACCTGTGTTAGACGAACCACAGACCATTGCTGCCCTTCCCCGCAGCCCAAGGGTTTGCTTTCCTTCTGGTCCAAAATGTGAACGTTCCTGTCTTGGGCTGATGTGAACAAGGCAGAAGGGAAAGATGGGCTGTGTCCTCACCAGCAGCTTTGTGCTGTAGAAGGAGCAACAAGCGTACAGCTGGGGCCTTCCTTGCTGCTGCTTAGGTGAGAAATTTATGCCTGACCTATCCGTGGTGTGCAGAGCAGCACCACAGGAGCGCAGCAGCAGGGCAGGAGAGTCTTTGTGCCAAAAACTGTGGTTGAAAGAAGGTACACCTGGTTAAGTCAAAGAACTAGAGAGCACTTTGGAGGAAGAAGTGTTTATAAATAGAGCTCAAACTCTTCTTCTAGCTTGCCGATGTCTGCCCATTCCCCGTCTCCTCTAATCTTGCCACAAGCCTCTCCTGCAGAACTGGGGGGGTGTGTGAAATATCCCTGCTGTTCCCAAGGGGGGAAACAAGGGAGAAAAGACTTGAGAAACCAAAGGAAAGGAAACATGACAGCAGAACAATGAACCTGCCTGGCTCTCCCAGGGAGAAGGTTACAGCTTCCATTGAAAATGTCCTTTGAAGGTGGTTTTCACTATAAACAGATTTTGCTGCCATGTCACAGGAAAGCTGGGAAGGAACCAAATCAAAACAGACTGGAAACAATTCCTCAGGAAGAGCTGCTGAGCAAAGCCCCCTTGCAAGGGGGCTGGTGCCCCCGTGATTTCAGCTGCTCCGGGTGCAGCCCGAGGGTCTGCGCATCCTGCAGGCTGTCCATGGGAGGCTTTGTGCCTGCAGACAGGGCTGGCAGAAATGGCTTTACTCTCTCTTGCAGGGAGATGCTGAGCTTACCCTGTTCCCTGCACGGTGCATTATCGTTGTTTTTGAGTGAAGGCTCAGAAATGCCATTAATTTCTTCTCACACTCTAATTCCCGTGACACCCAGGTCAAGTCTGTATAAATTTATCTTCGTAGATTAGTTCAAAGAAAAGTCCTTCTGCCCTGTTTTTTACCCTGGTTTTTAAAAGACGACCTCCTAATTGAACCTGCATCTCAGAGACTGGTAGGCACAAGCCCTCACAGTCCTTGGGATGTGGACTTAGGTTGCATCTGCACTAAAAGGCTTGGTCTGTGGTTCCTGTGGGTATGCAGGAGGGCCTTTCTGCCAAAGCCTGGGGGATAAACAAGGTGCATCTATTTAACTCAAAGAACACTATGCAGGAAAGAAATGTTTGTAAAGGGCCCAAATCATGATTGTTTGAGGATGCGAGAAACATTTCCCCACGAAGGGAATGGTGCCTCTGGCAGGCCACTGCAGCTCTGCATAGCCATGCTAATGGCTTTTGGCAACACTGGGAGAGGTGCCCTGCCTTCCCTAAGGCCGTGGGGCTGCCTCGGGGTGGTTAGGCAGTGCAGGAGGGCTGCCTCCTCAGCCACCCCAGGCTGGGCTCAGCCTGCCGCACCACTGCAAGAGCTCTGCTATGTCCCTGTGGGCTGGTGGCTCTCCTTGCCCTTCCTGGCCCTTGATCTCCAGACCATGCTGTTTCCTGGAGGGGCGCCTGGCAGGTTCCTCCCAGCCGCTTCCTGCCCCTGACTCTCTTTTTCTCTTCAGTCCACCGCCAAACCTCGCACCACATCCATCATCCCCTTTCCACTCACCTCCCTTCTGCCCTCAAGTTCCAAAAGAGGCCCCCCTGCACCAGCAGGAGGAAAAAAAAGAGGAGGAAAAAGAAGAAAACCTCGGTACCCCCATCAGAAGTGACCCCCACCATCCAGGAAGAGGACGAGGAGAGGGGAGAAGAAGAGGAAGAAGAAGAAGAAGAAGAAGAAGAAGAAGGAGAGTCTGAGGCAGAGGAGGCCCAGGAGAAAGAGACCTCTGCAGAGCTTGAGGGTGAAGCTCGTGGGAAAGACACATCCCCTAAGCTGGAGCCTCCAGGCAAAGCAAAGGCAAGGCCAGGGCATCCCTGCCTGCATGGGGCTTGGAGGCTGGGGGGAAGTGGAGGGAGAGTTGATGCCAGGAGTGTGCCAGGGTGCGTGGTCACGGCAGTGTGGTGCTCAGGGAAGAGCTTGTATCTGTGCAGTGTTGTAGGAGGAGTGGTTTTGTCCCTGCGTAGCAGAGATGGGCACTGCAGGACAGTGATAGATAAGCCATTGCTTGGGGTGGATGCTGGGGAGGGTGTGCATGACCATTCTGGGGATGTAAGACCCACGGGGGAAGATCAAATGTGGCTGTTCTTAGGGTGTATAGGATACAGCGGGGCTCAATATGGCCAGTCCCAGGGTATGGGGCACATGGGGGAAGTCACTGTGGCTCCTTCTAGGAGGTGGGGACCTGGGGAAGATCTGCCCATCAGGGATGGGGTGAAGGCTGCCTGCCCTGGCTCTTGCTGTCAGGACTGTCCTCTCTGCAGTTCACCATCGGCAGCGATGAGGAGGAGTCCGGCAGCTCTCGGGCCCCCGCGCAGTTCCACGTGGAGGAGGAGTGTGGCATCCTGTCTCCTGTGCCGCTCTTCGCCGACCTGCTGCAGGACAAGGGCCCTGCCTCCCTCTGCAGGTAGGTGAGCCCATGCAGAGCTGCCTGCCTCTGTCCTTGGCTCAGGGTCACTCCACAGACCCTGTGCCCAGCCTGAAGAAGGAGCAGAAGGGGCAACCTTTAGGTTTTGGGATAGGTGACTCCTGGCTCTGCTCCTTCTCAGGGACTTGTTGGTCAGGGCTGGGCTGAGGGACCTCAGCCCCTGAGAGGGGCTATGCCCCATCCTCACTCACCTCATTTGCTACCATCAGTCTTTTCTGGTGCTTACAGCCTCCCCGGGCCTCGGGAACGTCTGTCTCGCGGGTGGGAGAAGCGCAAGCCCTGGGGCCAGGTGGCGAGCGGACAGCGGGTCACCTATGACTTGAAGGAGAGGATGTGCATCGGCAGCATGACCACGCTGGAGAGCGCGGCGTACCAGCGTGTCCCCACGGACGAGGCCGAGGCCCAGATGCTGGCATCTGCTGACTTGGATGGCATGAAAAGTGAGGCTTTGCGACATTACCTACGTTATTGCTGCATGTGTCCCTTCCTTCTCCCTGCTCTGCCCTCTTCCCGAGCAGCTCCAGGCATGGTCTTCAGCCTGCCTCAGGACCTGGTCCTCACCTCCCTGTCCCCCAGCCCATGCTGTTCCAGCCCTGGTTCCTCTCTGTCAGCTTTGCAGTGTCCACAGCGCTGGTCCCCATGTTTCCAGCACCTCTACTCACACCCACCCCACAGATGCTTGCTCCTCCACCCGCCCCACTGCCCTCTCTGGTTCAGGGCTCCCTGCATTTCCCTGAGCCCTAGCTCTCTCCTTTCCTGACACACTTTCCCAGCGATCAGTCCTCTGTGTGACACGCCAGCTCTGTCATCGCAGAGAACCTGAGGTGAGCAGCCTCCCCTCTCCTCTGCTCTCCCAGCGAAGTGGCAGCTGCCCGCTCCGGAGTGGCTCGGAGGGGGACTGCTCCTGTGCGCGGCGCCAGGGCAGACAGCAGAGACGTCATGGAAATGCACGCTCCGGGCCCGAGGACATGGAGAATTCAATAGGTTGCTCTGCAGCCTGGAGAGGGAGGGAGACACCAGAGGGGAGTGAGGGAGTGGAGTGGTGCTGCGCTCACAGCCTGGCCGTCCCCGGGCAGCCAGCACGAGCCCCCGCGGCAGAGCGAGGATCCTGCTCCCCAGGAACCAGTGGGACAGCTCCCCACGGAAGCACCTCCAGCCAGAGCCAGCCTTACCAGGACCTCCTCCCAGTCCCCAGGGGCTGCTGCTGCTGGCACCTTCATGCCCTGTGAGGAGGGGAGCGAGGCACCAGGGCTGGCCCTGGGTCTGCGGTGAAGCCTCACCAGGGGCAGCTTGCTTTCTGACTACCTGGCTACCCCAGCCCTTCCTCAGAAGGTGAGTGGCTCATGGCACCTGACCCCTGACCTTCGCAAGGACAAAATGACAACCTTTCAAGAGAGAGAGGTGGCGGAGAAGGAATCGGAAGGGGGCAGCAGCCCGGAGGTAGCGATAAGCACCTGCATTCGCAACTCACTCACCTATGAAGACTTTGATGAATTTGCCTTCAATTTTGAAGACTATGATTTATGGGAGGCCATCAGAAACCATCTGGGCTACCCTGGCGGGGAGCCCACCTGTAAGTACCAGAGCAGTGACCCCACGGTCACAGCTGTAGATCAGAGCACCCAGCTAAAGTGCGTATCCCCCACCCCGTGTGTGCTGTCTGCACCCTCTCCGTGTCAGGTTGGTCTCCCGATTTAGAGGAGGTGAAGTCTGCTGCAAGGTGCCTGGGGATGCTGGAGGAGCTGTCTGGTGTCTGTGTGTCTGTCTGAGGTCTCTGTACAGATCTGTGTCATAGTGCTAAGGTGCTTCCCTGTGTGTGTCTCATTTGAGGAGCTCCAGAGGCATCTTGCTGTTTGTGCTTATCAGGATATAGCCTGTGCCGTGGCCAGAGGAAAAGCGACTGCTCTGAGGTGTGTATAAGGACAGAGACATTTCCCTTTCCATCTGTGGCACAAGGTGACAGTGTGCCGCTGCTCCCTCTTTGCCGGAATTCGAGCTGGGCTGCGGATCTGAAGCAGTGGTGGGCATCAGGTTCGCGGCTCTGCACCATAGCCTAATGCCCAGAGGAGAAAATAACCTAGTCCCTATGTCTGCAGGTTTGAGCGTGGCTGTGAAACCTGCTAATGGCAGGCTGGCCAGGGTGCCTGGGAGGGCGAAAAGAGGAAGGAAGGAAGAGTGGGAAAGCAGAGAAAGAGAGAATAGGTATCCCGAGAGCAAAGAATGTCTTTCTGTTCTCTGCATCTGTCTCCATACCTGTGCATCCCTTGTGGAGAGCTGGATCTCTGAGCCATCCCGGGGACTGTGCAGAAACCAGAGCCTTGCACCCACCTGGCACAGGCTGTCCTTCCTCAGCAGATGGTGGTAACTCGCAGTTAAAAGGTGGCTTTGTGTATCACCTTGGGATTGATGCTGTTCATATCCATAGCTCTGTGGCAGCTGCCCAAATGTCCTTGTCCAGGTCATGTGTTAATTTTTAAGGGGATTTTAGGAGCACACACGGGAGAGTAGCATGGCTCCAGAGCTTGCCTGCTTGCTGGCTTTGTGTGCAGGAGTGGGGCGGCAGAGCGCCTGCAACAGGGACTCAAGGCGCCTTGGTTCAGTTTCTGGCTCTGCCACAGGCTCTCTGTGTGATCTCGGGCAAAACACTTAACATCCCTGCCTCTCAGTCCCAGCATTGTGTTCTCTTTCTCAACTGGCCCATCTTTACAAGCCTTCAGGGAAGAAATGTCTCCCTATGTGCTTCTGCAGGGAGCAGCAGGTGAGGGTTTGCTTCTGTCTGGGTCTGCTACTTGTTACTTGGTAGACAGTGCAAGAGCAGCAAAGTTCAAAATAGAAACCTGAAGCAAATTGGCTCCATCAGCTGTCCTGAGCTGAGCAAACTGTACACTACACTTGTGAGAAATTGCCCCAGGTTCACCCGGGAAAGGATGGTTATTTCTGGGAAGGTAGAAGGGGCAGCTTGCTTCTGCAAGGTGCGATATGCATTGCTTGTAAAATGGGGAAATTTGACTTGCTAGCAGTTAACACATTGATCGCTACAGCTAATACTGCAGGTGCTTGGAATAGGATGTGCTGTTCAGCACAGTACAACTCTTGATTATTTCTGCACGATGAAGCCACGCTGTGGATGAAACCTGCAGAGAGGTCTGGCAGGGGCAGAGTTGACAGAGACACCAGAGGGCCAGCTCATGTCCAGCCAGTGCCACTCGCCCAGCTATTTGCTCCATGACAGTACCTCTCCCAGGACCAACTCAGAGGAATTTAATAGCTTTTGGGCAGAGTAGTGTCCCTGTTGGACCTGAGCTGGTCTCCTTGCACTCCTTTCAGTGTCCGGAGCATGAGGAGTACTGTGTGGGCACATCTGTATCGCAGCAGCAATGAGCTGGGGTCCAGCTGTCCCTATCACGTTAAACAGCATCAGCCAGGAGAGATTTGGATGGCAGAGCAGGGCAGTGGCTTTTTCCAAAAGCCAGCATGGGGTTGTGATTTACTGTATGTTGCTTAGCATTTTGTTTAGTCTCCTTTTAAATATTCCCAGATACGGGGTTTCAGTCTCTTTTTTTCTTGCTATAACTTAACCATTGGGATACATGGGGGAAGTGTGCACCGTCCCTGTGGTGCAGGGATAGCAAGTTGCTCTCTAGTGCTGGTACAAATACTCTCTTCTGGACTTGCTGCTTGTGGATAGAGGGTAATGAGAGGAGGAAAGCAGGAGCTAACGTGAATTGAAGGCAGTCGCCTGCTGAGTTGGACTGACTAGCACAGGCACTCCAGGGGAAAACTTTAACCAGTGCAAAGTCGTATTTGTCATCTTCAGATTTAAGCTGGTGGAAAAAGAACTTATTCATGCTAAGCAATCTGACTGATGGAAACCAATGTGGCAAGAAGATCTGCTGGAGGAAACTGTAGGAGATGCTGTGTGGGAGGATGACGTGCCAGTTTGTTGTAGTGGAGCCACCACAGGAATCGTGCTCTGTCCTCAGACATTGTCGCTGTGTCATGGTCTGCTTCTGGGAAGCACTGGAGAGGAGGCACATCAAGAGCATCTTTGGCTGCTTCAACCCACCTTGGGGAGCTTGGCTTCAAGCAAGGAGGGCAGAGCTATACCCTGGGCACATCTACGTGAGACTCCCAAAGCCAGTGACGTCTTCCAAAATTAAGCCCATGAGTTCACCCTGCTCCTGAGTTGCCTTCCCCAGCTGTCATCTCAATGGCCACAGGCACTGCCAAGGGAGAGCAGCAAGGGGATGGCTCCTTTCTTCTGTAGGGCTCTGGAGGTGCCTTCACTGTCTCACTCTGAGCCTGCTGCACTTCAGCTCCTGTCCCTGTCAGCGAGTGTGGGAGTTGCTGGAGGTGCTGTAGGAAACTTGGCTCCTTTTGTTTTATCTGTCCTCCAACTATTTGGTGGCTGAGGCTGAACTCGTGTGTGCTTTCTGGGGCTGTTGCTGAAGAGTGCTGCACAGCAGGTTGGCATCATCACAAGGGAGGTTTGTTGTGCTCTGTCTTGCTGGGCAGTGTCCTCTGGCCCTGTTGCTGTAGGGACATAGTGAGTGTGAGTCACAGGGTGCATGGCAGCAAAGGTGCCAGATACCAAGATCATCCGCCTGGTGACCCATTTGTTTACGCACAAGTCCACACCGAGGGCAATGAAGGGGCTGCCATGCACACAGGAATTGAGAAATCCATGCAAAAGTCCAAGGAAGCCCTGCATGTGCTTGGCTCCCAGAAACATTCGTAGCAGTGGGCAGTCGCTGGCTCCTATCGACATTGCAGCGCAGTAAGTGGAGCAGGGAGGAGTCCAGCCGTCTGCGGGACGTGCATCAGTGGGACAACCAATGGGGGAAAATGCCCCGAGGCTCAGTATTGATTCATTGTATATTTAATTTAACGACCCAGATTTCCAAGGAGCAAGGCCATGGTATGCCTGGCCTGGTGCTGGGCCTATGTGTTTCCGTGCCAGAGATACATGCATGTTTTCCTGCAACATCAAAGAGACTGCTTGGCCTTCAAGGTCAGTGCTTTTCGTTCCCTCTCTTGCTTTGAGAGCTGCAGGTCTTGAGTGCAGAAAGGTTTGTGGAGCCTAAACGCTCATCCCAGCCAATGAAGAGCTGCCCTTGGTCCCCCAGGTAGAAGACCTTGTTTTTGCCTTATGAGCAGGGCCAGCAAGCTTCCATGGACCAATGCAGAGCAAAACCCCTGATCTTCCATTCTGGAGCCAGGCTCTGAGGCTTTCCCATCCCCATGGGCTGTTTATGCTGAGGAAGATACCCTTGCTGTCTCCAGGTAGTGTCCAGGGGGACTACTCTCCGTGGCAGGCCCATGCCCAGGTGCTGTTTCTCTGGTATTGCATGGTTGTGGACAGGTTTTGGTGGGTGCTGGCTAGTCAACAGCACCGGCAGCTTGGGGGTGGGTCTGTAATGCAGCCTCAGCAGCCTCTCAGGAGGCTTTGGGAGGCTTTGATTCGGCTCTGTACCGCAGACCTTTCAGAGAGCATTACAGTGGCTCTGCAGATCATTTAGAAACAGCGATAGCTGGAGTTGGCTGCCCAGCCTCCATGCCAACCCTGGTCTGCGCCGTTATCCTACAGTCTCATTGCACAATTAAATAAAACAGTCATTGATATTTCCACGTGTCCCAGACCAGCAGCTAAATATCCTTCCCCTTTGCTGCCCTTTATGCCCAGGTGCCTGCCTGTGCTGTCTGGGTGCAGAGCAGTGCAGATAAGGCTTCAGGTTGCTTTTCGCTGAGGGACTATGGGGAGGGCTCACGCACCGGTTATTTGGGTGCCATGAATAAAAGCTTTTGCAAACGTGGCTCCAGTGTATGCGCAGCGTAGGAGGAAGCCTTCACCTTGAAGGAATCAGCTCGCAGATGTCTGGAAGAGCTGAATGTAGGCAGATGAGGTAGGAAGGATTTTCAAAGGTCTGGAAGATGATGGTGAGTGCTCCAGCTGCCCGGGCTTTGATAGCATAAGCTAATGAGAGAATGGTGGGCTTGGATGTGTTTCCCTGCCAGTGTGTTTACACTAGACAAACTGGTGGTCTTTATTCCTTTTCCCATGTCTTCAGGCCACCGTTTTGAAGATAACCCTGGTGTGAGGAGGCATCTGATGAAAAAACCATCTCGGAGTCAGATCACCAGGACAAGCAAAAAATTAGCATCAACTCCATCTGTCAAGAAAAAGAAGAAGAAGAAGAAGTTGGATAGAAAGCCCCATGAGGTATCCATGTGCTGTCCTCCCACACTTGTTCAGAAGCGATAAATCAGGACCACGTACAGGGACTTTATAAAGTGATAAATATGGTTTCAATGTAACTGATTCTTTACATGACCTTGGGGGTGACATTTCACGCTCTTACCCATTATCACGAGGGCTGAAAATACACTTTTTTCAATAAAAGCAGAGATTAATCTGAAGTCACTAAGTTTCAGCCTTAGGAAAGACGTTTAAAAGTCACAGAGATGGTAGCACTGTTGTGGCAGCTGGCAGCACAGTAACGTCACAATCTCTGTGACATTGTTTTGGGGGGAAATTTTGGAGGAAACCAAGGAGCAGGCAGTGGACAAAACCATCACAGTTTGGTAGAAAGGGATGCAGTATTGCATCATTCTCATCTCTTCTCTGCCCACACCATCTGACTTGGAGCTTTCTGGTGCTCCATGTGCTGATGGAAGCTCCTGGCATGCTGCCAGTGTTATTTGTCCTGACTGCTTCTGTTCAGTTCAGTTTAGCTAAGGCAGTCCTGCTCAGGCAGTGCTTTAGACCAAGACGTACCTTGAAAGGAAACCTGAGGCTTCCTGTGTATTGCTGATAGAGCTGTATGCACCAGGGTAAGTCTCATGTCCTCACTGTCATCCGCACTAGGTGTTTGTGGAGCTGAACGAGCTGGTGGTGGATAAGAACCAGGAGATGCACTGGAGGGAGACAGCCCGCTGGATCAAGTTTGAGGAGGATGTGGAGGAGGATACAGCGAGATGGGGGAAACCCCACGTAGCTTCACTGTCCTTCCGCAGCCTGTTGGAGCTCAGGAAGACGATTGCCCATGGTGAGTCAGGCCAGGGTGTGCGTCTTGCTCTGGGACGGGTTTTGCTGGATAGCTTCTGTCACTGTTTGGCCCCTCGCTGGAGACACTCCAAGAGTGTCTGTGTCCAGGCTCCGTGTAGGGTCTGTGGAGACAGACCATCCTGCAGCCCATCTGCCAAGGGTCTGTGCTGGTTGCTCAAGGGTGCCTGTGTTGGTTCCTCGCTCTGCTTTGCTGCTCTCAGGCACATGGCAGCTGCAGCACTCAGCTGTACTTGGTCCAGCAGGTCTTGGACTCATCTTTGGTGTGAAAAGGCAAGTTTGGTCAGTGGGAGACCAAAACAAGAGGGAAATAACAGAGCTGCCAATGCATCTTGGAGTTTTTGAGTTCTCTTGGGACAAGGGTTTACACACAGGACATGGGACACCTGGACATGGGGCATTTCTCAGCTGAGAGAATCTGTACCCTATCCAAAGCACGGCTGCTAGTGGGGCAGCTGTGTTCCCAGAGTGCGTGTGCAGTGGGGAGCACTGCACATTAGGAGCAGGGCTCTTCCCCTCCTGCTGGCAGGTGCCGTCCTCCTTGACCTGGAGCAGACCACGCTGCCTGGCATCGCGCACCTCATGGTGGAGACCATGATCATCTCTGACCAGATTAGAGCAGAAGACAGAGCCAACGTGCTGCGTGCCCTGCTGCTGAAGCACAGGTGGGTGGTACGTGGCTGGGGGCTGCCAGGGCTCGGGGGTTGTCTCTCAGCCCCAGGTGGCAAGGGAGGAGGGTCCCCTCATGGCCACTACTGTCTCCTGTCAGCCACCCCAACGATGAGAAGGAGGGCTTCTTCCCGAGGAACCACTCCAGCTCCAGCATGAACTCCATCGTGGGCAACCACCACCACAACCACACCACCGACACCTGCGTGCCCCTCATGGGAGAAGAGCGCATTGAGATGTCTGACCCCAAGGCCAATGAGACCGAGTGCAAGGAGGTGAGGGTGACGTGGTGGGTTGCTGCTTCTTTTTCCACACCCTGGGGACAACTGTTGGCCAGCGGCAGCCCTTGGCGCCACCTCTGGGCCCCTTCGTGGGGGACCTTGTACTTGCAAGGGCTGAGCTCCCTTGGATTACCTGGGGCGCTGAAAATCAGATCACTGCGTTATGATTATGGGACCTAATTTTAGTCTCATGCTGTTTGCAAATGTCTGCTGGAGCATGCAACAACAGCAACAGCCCTGGCGCTTGCAGGGTGGCCTTTTGCTGTGAGGGTGCCTCTTGCCTGTGTCAGGCGTGCAGCCAAGACAAGCCTGGCTGCAGACATGCCAGCGGAGTGCAAGGTTGTGCAGGGAGATGAAGGCATTGGGACTCTGTCTTTACTTGTTTGTATTCTTCCCCGGCAGAAAAACCCCCATCTCCATAACTCTGAGGGCCACCGTAAATACCTGAAGCTGATGGAGAAGATTCCTGAAGATGCAGAGGCCACAGTGGTCCTTGTGGGTAAGAGGCAGCACATAGAATTCCCTGGCACCAAAAGAGACCAGTTCAGATCCTGGTCTGGCTCCAGCTGTCTGTGCCCTCCCTTGTGAGGGGCATTTGGATGTCTTGTACATGTTCCCAAAGTTCAGCTGGGGAGGGGGCATTGTACTCTCTCTCCTGCGGTGACAGCACTTTTTGTTTGTCCGTGGTAAATGTAAGGTGTGCCAAGGTAGTTCCTTTCCTAAATTAAGAGGTTGGTAGATGCTGCTGCTGGCAGCTGGGGCCCAGCTTAGAGGAGAAAGTCCCACCAAGCTCACCAGAACATCCCATTTTGCAGCTCAGAAGTGGGTAAGTGGTGCCTGAGGGGCTGATGGCCCGGCGCTGCCTGCTGACGGGCCTTGTGCTGTCCTCTGACCATCACTGTGCTCCATCTGACCTCTTCACACCTTGCCAGCAGCTGGGCCCTGCCCTGGCCAACATTGGTTGCTGTCTCTATGTGCCAGGGAGCTTTGTGTTCATGGAAGCAGGGCCTGGCTGGTGGCAAGGTCTCACGTATTGGCTGTAGTGCTGCCAAGAGATGCTTCTCTGTACAAGAGGGCTGTGGGCAGGCAGGCCTGAGCATCAGTGGGCTTCTGACCACAGGAGTAGTTCTCAGCACTTTGCTGGCACTGACATAGCTACACTGCAAGCAAAGTAAATGTCATTGCCTATCCAGTAGATGAAAAGCTCAGGCAAAGAGGTTTGGCAGTTGTACCAAGCTGATGCTTAACCACGATGAGGCCAAACTAGCTTCATAAGCACACTTTGAATACTCAGATGATACTGATCATTTCTGAGGAAAGGCCGTGTCTTGCAATTTGCTTGGCCACTCAAATGGCCCAGATTCGCCAGTCTGACACAGAACATAGCTCTTTGCTGGACACAGATGTCAGAAAGATCAGTAATAATGCCAGAGAAATGCAAGTATTCAATAAACATTTGTGCTCAGTACGGGAAGGAAGCAGCTGGTGTGCCGGAGGATGCGGGAGTGCTTCCCAATCTGTTAGGAACCAGGGAAGCTGCCAAGCATTGATGAGATGTGGACATTGTAAAACAAACTGTGCGGTTTGCACCTATGAGTCTTTAGAGAACTGGCTCATTTTCATCTGAAACAAAGAAAAGTCTAGGAATACAGGGAACATATAAGAAAAACAGAAGAAAGCTCACAGCATCAGTGCTCAAGAAGGGAAGGGCAGTGCTCCAGTACCTATAGGCTGTTTAACCTGACATCCTTCCAAGCCAAAATACTGGCAGAGCTAATATGGGATTCAATTAATAAAGAGCTAAAGAATAAGAATGTAATTATTGCCAAGCAGTGAGGTTTATGGGAAATAGGTCACTTCAAGCAAACCTGATTCCATTCTTTGATGAGATTAGAAGTTTGTTTGATAAAAGTAACATGTAAGAGACTTCCTTCCATAGGGCAGTGGCTTTGTGGAAAACAACCTTCTGATTTAAAATTAGCCTCCTACAGTGTAAGTAGCACCCATCTGTAAGGGGTTAAGAATGGGCTAACTGGGAAGCTAAAGAAAGTAGCACTGCTTGGGAATGATCAGTGAACAGGGGGCTTGGAGCAGTCCTCGGCATGAAGCTTGATGCTGTGTCAGTGGTTCTGGAGACAAGTTTGGGATGGCACGGAACCTCCAAAATCGCTTTTTCTGCTGTTAAAAGTCAGTCCAGTACAGCTCACCTCAATGATTAACTCTGCTCAAAACATTGCCTCCTGGTAGGTTGTGTGCAGTTCCTGGAGCAGCCAACTATGGCCTTTGTGCGGCTGAATGAGGCAGTCTTCCTGGAATCTGTCTTGGAGGTCCCGATTCCTGTCAGATTCATCTTTGTGCTGCTGGGACCAAGCCAGGCCAACATGGACTACCATGAAATTGGCCGCTCCATCTCCACCCTCATGTCTGACAAGGTGAGGAGCTGATGGGCGGTGATGCTGGCACAGGCAGGGGAGCTTCAGTAGCTCCTCAGAAGTCAGTCCTGGGACGAGAGGGCTGAGAGGTGCTGTGCCCAGGTGAGGCAGGCAGGCATGAACACCTGGGATTTTTAAGAGCAGCCTGGCTCAACCAAGGTAGGGTTCTCCAGTACGGAGGGAAGAGCAGGACAGACACTTGGCTGGGACAGAAAGTGCTGGACTGGGTAAAGAGGAGGACTGTACATAAAAGCAGGAGCAAAGGACTGCTCAAGGTTAGGGGAGTTGCGTTCAGTTCACATTTCACAGAGAGGAGGAGAGGCTGAGTGGTGCCTGTGACCATGATGCCTGGCCCAGGCCACACTGACGAGAAGACCCAGCAATGCCTGAGGACTCTTCGTCGGGCGTTTGGGTGAAGCTCTCCAGCTGAGCTCCGTGACTGGGCCATCCATGCAGAGAAGCATATCTGGAGGAGAAATGAGGAGGAAGAAAGACTTTTCTGCCAAGTGTGTGCACTGCTAGAAGTCCCCCATCTGGCTATATGGCAGGAAAGTGAAATGCATTATCCTGGTAAGGAATTAAAGGCAAAGAAAAGCCAATCTGAGCAGCTGCCTCATACATCCAGCAGAATCAGAGGTTCACAGGGTCCTCCTGGCTGGTGCCTTGTAACTTTAATGGAGTAACAAACCTGCCTGTCCTGCCACCAGTCCACAGCTCTCCCTGAACTGGGGACTAAAAGGTCAACTCAGAGCAAGTGGGTTGTGGGCAGCAATGGCTCCCAGCAGAAAGATCCCTTCCCAGGAGCTGCACAGGGCTCAGCTGACAGGGTGACACTGTGTTTTGAGCCAGCAGAGGTGCAGTGCCATATTCCAGCTTCAGCTCTGTGTGTGGGCTGATCGCGCTCATCTGAGCCTCTGCTACTCTGTTTCTGGAAGAGGGGAGCCAGCTTCTGCAGCCGGGTCTGGCCACAGCAAGGTCACACAGTGTCTGGCGCCGTGGAGAGGGTACAGTATCATTTACAGTTTGAAGCTGTGGCTCCAGGGAGTCTGTGTGCGGCAGGGACCTTAGCTGTCCCCTACCTGCTTTACAGGCTGCTTGCTTGCTCATCTTCCTCTAGCCCTCTATCTGCAGGCACATTCCAGAGGCAGTGCAGCACATCCACCTGTTTGCCAGCACCTCCCCAACTATCTGCAGTGGTGCTGTCCCCTCATGGTCTCCTTGGAGTCCTTTCTTGTCATCTGGACGAACGGGTAGTGAGGTGGACCACGA